ACCTTTGGAACAAGAGGTGGCTGACAGTGTAACCCTGGACACTTCCACCTCTCCCCCTCTTTGTGTTCAGAGAAATTTAGCTCAAGGTCAGTGTATTGGCAAAGGCAGCCTTGAGCCCTGTTTAGGGGTGCTTTAAAGTATGTGGCACCCACAAGCAGTGAAGGGGGACCATTGCAGCATCACTTGAATCACAGAAACTGTGGCCATTCAGGCTGCCATGGAGACAGACCAGCTAAATCTTGTTAGGCTGTTGCATTTTTGTAACGAGAACAACAAGGAAGGGGCATGGCTTCTAGCACTCTCTCGTCACCAAGTTAGAGATTTAGACTACAGTTTAGGAGGGGGTTCAATCCCCTATGGAGCCATTAAATTCACTAGATGACCATGGTCCATATTGGCCTGACTTATCTCACAGAGTTATTATTATGAGGATTCAGTAGAGGAAAGATGCGCAATGTAGAGGCCACCTACAACTCCCTGGACAAAAAGGGAAGGCACAGACATGAGTAGTATTTATTTGTTTGTTTGTTTGTTTGTTCGATTTTTACCCCACCCCTCTAGACAACGTCTGCTCGGGGTAGTAAATCATAAGTGCAAATAGAGAGGGCTTCATGGGGTTCTCCCTTCCAGAAAGGTATTGGGGATGAACTGTTACTTCAGAACTGCAAAGGAGTTCTCGGAGGTAAGGACGATCCTGTATTCCAGGCTGTGCCCAATGGAAACTGAAAGTAACTAAGTTGGCATGTCCCACTTTGGAGTCAATGAATTCCTCTCTCCAGGGGTGCCAGAGTCGATCTGGATCACTAGGATGCTCATTGAACCAGGGTGGACAATTTTGCTGGCCTTGGAGAGCCAGATGATTCATTCAGCTGCAAGCGGGTCCTCCTGGGCTGGGTTCTTCTGCAAGTGGATCATTCCCTTGCTGTGATGCATCAGCCTACAGATAGAACCAGACCTCCGCGCCTTCTTAGTTTCTTTAATTGCTGTTCCTTGGGAAAATGCTTCTTCCGCCAACCATCTTGCCAGGTGCTGGAGAGATTTACGTGCTCTTCAGCAGTTGTCTGTGTACGTCTTCGCCAGAGTGGTGGCGCACGTATTTAAAGCACTTCAGGCGACCATGTATTTTACAGCATTAAAAGCCATCTAGCGTTAAGCATAATTCATCTTTCCCCTCCCTGTCCCCATCGCACATAAAAATTTTAAATTGCAGAAATCCCTCACCACGCACAGCTGAGCGCTACTCTTGTCATATCAGAGTTTGAGAGCATCATTATAATATCACTTTCCCCTTTTTTTTCCGGAGCGACATCAACCATCATTTCTTCCTGTGTCTGCATAACTGAGTTGCAGGTGAATATTTCAAACACGCTCTCGTGGGACAGGAGTCGGGATGTTCTCCCCAAAAGTTCTTGTAGCTTTTACAATGCTTCTGAGTGCCAGAAGGTTTGCTTTGGACTGTCAGGAAGCTTGCTGAGCACCTGTTGGCTTCTGTGCCTTTCCTCTTGCTTTTTTTCCCCTCTACAGAAAGATGGCCAGCTCATTTGGGGAAACGGGGAAGATGGGAGATGACAGCTAGAGCACCCAGGGTTCATAGGGCTGGGTGAAGAGACCTGAAAATTGTCACAGAGGCATTGAATTCTCCCAGCTGTGCTCAGTAGGGTCAGCACTGGCTGGCAGTGAGACTCTCTAGGTTTTCGGGACACAAACGGGCGGGGGGGGGAATGAATCAGCACCAGGTGCCTTTCCAGCCTTTAGGGAGCTATCCAGGGTACTGAACCTTGAAGTGGGGGTGGTTTCAGCATGTTGGGGGGTTCCTGTAAAATTCAGAGTAAAACGTGGCATGAATTCACAGCTAGGAACGTTTTCTTGGTTTTTCTTTTGGTTTGGGTTTTTTTCTTAGACTAGAGATCCCATAATGCTCCATTCTGGGATTTCTACCTAATACACAGACATCTTGCAGACATCTAAATATGGCTCACCTGGGAGAAAGGCCTGAACTCACAGGCTTTGAGGCCTAGCTTTGCCTAACTTCCAATTCAGAAAGAAAATTCCCATCTTGTATCGGGGCAGGAACAGGAAGCTTGGGTGGAGCAAGGCCGAGCTAATCTTCAGAGCCTTCCGGTTGAGGTCTTTCTCCCAGGTGAGCTACATCTGAGTCTGTAAGTAAGGTATCTGCAAGTGGAAATCCCAGAATTGAACATTATGGGGGTGGGTGGTTAATGGTTTTTCACCACTCCACTGACATCAAAGCCACTGGCCTCCACAGATTATTATTCTAGTCCTGCTTGGAGACACTGAAGATTAAAATAGAAGACTTCTTTTATATACAAGTTGTGGAAAATTCGCTTGTCTTGCCATGGTCTTCCTAAGTACTTCACCTACACTGAAGGTATACTTCTCTGTTTTGGTCCCATCCCTCTCTTGTTTTCTCCGGTGCAGGCAGATTCTATTCCTTCGGGGATCATAGTGACATCAGATGCTGCTTACTAAGATTTGCTGTGATCATATCACTGAGGACACCCAAAGCCTGTTTTAAAAAACAAAAAGAAACCTTGTGAACCAGCCTTTTCTTTGCATCAACTGTAGATGTTTTTGAAAAGTAGCTAGTTCAGGCTCAGAGTTACGGTTAGTGGGGCGCCTACCTATTCCTTCAGATGTATTGTGGGGAATAGCAAACCTCAGGCTAAACCAGATGGAAAATGGATTGAACACATGTGCATATATATATAACTCTTTAAAGAAAGATATTTGGAAAAAGAACTGAGTGACTCATGTTGCATTTTTAATCAGTGTCCAAGATTATTTAATGAAATTTGTCCAAAGCCACACAGGTTATTTTCTGAATATTTTTGTTTAACCATGAAACAGGTCCATTATGTGCAGGGGGCCATGGAAATTTTAACTGCAAAATCAAGCTGTGGCTCACATTAAAAGCTGGCCATTCCTAATTATTGCTTGCTCTTGGTTTTAATGTAGCTCCTCTTGCCAAGTCCCCAACTGACGGAGGTTTTCTTTTCAATTTCCCTCCCTCCTTTCTGTCTGGAGATAGCTCTGACACAGTGTATGTGGTCGTTTTATTATTGTTTTTATGTCCTGGCAAAACTCCGACAGGTTTTAATGGGTTTGGATTGTGCCCCTAGACCTTCTGCTGCTGCACCCCCATTGCACCTTGGCATTCGTACCTGGCAAAAGCCCCCCCCCCCAGGGAGCTTCTCTGAGCAAGCCTGCTCCACAAGGTGAGTGGGACTGAGAGCACGACAGTGCTCTTAAGTGCCCCCATTCCTTTCAGTGGGACTTTCTGAACACAAAGGTTTGCCTTCTCCATTCTTTTCCTTTCCATTTCACTGCTGTTGTTTTGCTCTTAAGCATGCAGGCTTTGTACTCTCTCCTTTCTTCTCTGTCCCACGTTAAGGAGTGGTAAAAGGATTTTACCTGTTCCACTTTTTAAAAATCATTTCTGGTTCATTTTCCTTTAAGTTCCAAGTTGTCTGTATGAAGAGTGAACTTACCTTGTGGAAGCCAACAGGATACCAGCTAGACATGAAGGAGGAACATAGGATCATAGGAGACTACCTTCTAATGAGTCATACCCTGGGTGTCCTTCCAGGCCAGTATTGCCAAGTGGTAATAGGGATGAGGTTTGTTGGTTGGTTTGTTTGTTTTTGAGAGGAGGGGCAACAGATCCAACAATTCTCTATTCTGGGAGTTCTAGCTGACAAGATACATTATAGAGACCTAAATGTGGTTCACCTGGGAGAAAAGCCTCAATGGGAAGGCGTTGAGGCCCAGCTAGGCCTAGCTGCGCTCAAGCTTCCTGTTCCTGCCCCAGTGCTACCTGGGAGTTTTCTTTCTGAACAGGAATCTAGGCAGAGCAAGGCCTAGCTAAGCCTCAAACCCATTTATTTACTTGCCCCTGCCTACGAGGTCAATGGATTTAAAAGAAATTCGAGAGATGCCCGGGGAAGTTAATCCAGTACCCTCTTAAATCTTTGTGTTAGAGTCTCTTGAGCCACTCTCTCAAAATCCTGGTTGGAAATGGCAACATCCTCAGTCTAAAGAGCAATGTGCCTATGCCCCCCCCCACTCTTTGCCCACTCAGCACTGCTCCTTAACCCTGGGATGGTCCCTGTCTCAACTGTAATTGCAGTCATAATCTACTGTTGTGCGGGGGGGAATCTTCTTCCATTGCACCACAAAATGTCAACTCCTTAATTTTTATTTTCTGAGGCTGAGGGAAAAAAATCCCCAAAGGAGAAGTCAGAGGGGCTGAATTTTTTTCTCTGAACTTACAGGCATCTTGGGGATTTTAATTAAGCAACTGGTACTTTCTTGTGTCTGCTTCATTAATCGCCTCTTGGTCATCAGAATCCTTCCCTCCATGCACTGACCTTTAAGAATTTTTTTTATTTTAATGCTGTTTATTAAAACGAACCATGCCGTGCTCTGTGGTTCCACGCTGGTTGGACAGTAGTGACTGCATTCACAAAAGGACAATGCCTCTATTCAGAATACACTCTGGGAAATCAATACATAGGTTGTACAGTCAAAGTGGCAGACCGCACAAGGTGCCCCCAGTCCCTGTTGAGTGGCTTCGTCATTAAGCCTGCCGTACTCATCAACAGCCCACGTTTCTCACTGGGCAATTAGCCTGCTAAAGCTGTCTGTTGGTCTGTCTGGTTTGTTTGTTTAATATACTGCTCCATTAGTGTGATTCTGGGCAGTTTGCAACATGATAAAATAGAAGACGACCGTAACAATGAAACTATAACTGAAAGTCAGACAAGTAAAACAATTTACTATAAGTGGCGTATTATTTATTTATTTATTTATTTATTTATTTATTTATTTATTTATTTATTTATTTATTTATTTATTTATTTATACCCCGCCTATCTAGTCATTTCGACCACTCTAGGCGGCTTACAACATAAAGGATATTATCCCAAGAGAAGGCAGAAAATGAAGGTTGGATGACACTCTCTTTCTGATTTGTTTGGCAGGGTCACCTCCTGGAGCTGAAACCGATCTGTATCATCATCACCCAACCATCAGAAGATCAGCGGTAAGACCTAAAGATATGCCTGTCAGATGTCACCAGCTCTTATGGCTGAGGGGGGGGGGGAAGCAAGGCATGTGGGAGATGACCACATTGACCATTGGACACAGCTGGCCCCATGGTGGGGCCAAACCTTTCTGTGCCCCCCACACATGCTTTCTACAAATGTTAAAATGGAGGGACCCCACTCCTTACTTAGGTTACAATCCATGGAGAGGCATACCCACATTGGGCAAGCAGAAGGGGCATGGGGAAACATTCCTAGCTTTTTGGAAGATCTGTAGCAGATTGGCAAATAATGTACAGCATGGAAGTAATGTGTGTTAGTAGCCCAAATCCAATGAACCAGCTCTATGGGTGTCAGCAAATTGCTGCTGGTTAAAGACTTCCTTTGCCCCTATGTCACATTGTGTACTAGCCACACGCATCCTGGAAACACCTTTGGTCACCAGCAGTTTGTCACATGTGACGAGACCTTCACCCTTCTGCATGCAGAGCTGTGCGAGAGGATTGCAGCCAATGCGATATAACAAGTACGTAGCAACCTGTAGCTAATGACTTTTTGGTTGATAATAGTGCAGTGACATGTTGTAGATGATGTTATTGTCTTTCCCAGTAAGTCTGTTGTTTCTAAAATACAACAGCCTCCGTTTAGTTATTTTTGCTTCTAAGGAGAGTCCAGACTTTATTTGATCTATTGCTCACTTATTTGAGTTTGGTTGATGATGTTTCCTTTTTGTTTGTTTTGTTTTGTTTGGCAGCCCCATAAAGCTTTGTTGCCATTTCGTATTTCCACAGCTTCCCATCCTCCCCGCAACAGACATTCAAAACAACTTGTGATGGAGCTGTCGTTTTAAAGACATGCCTAAAAGCTGCCCATATGCTAATACACATCATGTCAATAGACACAGCATATTAAAAACAAGGGGATAAGACTACGGGATATTAGAACTAAAGAACAGCATTAGCATTAAAACCTAATAGAAGAGGAGGGGGAAACACGAACAGTAAGAAAAATTAACAGTCTTGTACTAGAATTTTTAAAAGGTGAAATCTAAATGGCACATTTTATGTCTGACTTATTTCATCTACACATTAGAAGAAGAGTCCAGAAAGGGGTCTGACTGGCCATCCTCCTCTTGGCTTTTGATGCATTTGGTTCACTAGCTGCTCAAGAGCACCAGAGAGTTGATGTGTGCATCAGATACCCAGAGCTTTGAAAACTTGCATTTGAGGACTACAGGTCCCAGAATCCCCCAGCCGGCACAGCCATCAAGGATGAGCCTTGTTGGTGTTAATCCTAGACAGTAGCTTCTCGTGCAGGAGGGGGCGGTCACTGATAGTGGTGGGTGCCCACCTTGAACCAAAAGCTGGGAGGGAGACCAGGCTTCCCACCTTTCCCATGCCGCCCAAGGGAGGGACCTGCCGCATTTACCAAAGGATCGCTTTTCAGAGGAACATTCGCTTGGATAATACTTAAGGGGTCACCTCAGAGCTTTTAGGGAAGACCTTCAAAATAATGGAGAAGCTTGCAGGGCGGGGGAGTCAAGTCTGTGGGACTCCCTGTCAAGTTGGACTTAAGTCATACCCGTGACTTGACTCAGGGTTGTTTTTCCCCCAGTGACTTGGACTGGAGACTCAGAACCCATCCCCATCCCTTCTTTTTGTGGATTTTTTAAAAGGGACTTGGGACTTGGTAGCAAAGACATGGAGTTGGATTTGGAACTCAGATTTAAGGACTTGCCTGCCCCCCCCCCCAGGAGCCTGTTTCTCACCATGGTCCCTGTTCTCTCCAAAGGCCTCCTTCCTTCGGGGACTATGGATGGCTGATCACGGCCCGGCCGTGCCTGCCTAGGGTTCCTCGTAACTAATTGACTTTATTTTCCCGTCCATTCACACTTCATTTCCACCTTTATGTGGCTTCTGAAATTCATGCCGTAATGTATTTTCTTGACACAAGAAAGGATTTCAATGACCGGGTGATGAATGTCCATATTAAATTGGATCCCCTTTCTTAATTAAGTTCATCTAAATTTAATTTTGCAATTTTACTGTGGTAAACCCACCTGACTCCAGCTGCTGGATGTACTTTTTCCTATCACTGTTCACACATAATTGTACCTGTGAAAGATTTATGACTTAGGGAGACAGTTCTCGGCCATTTGAAAAGTATTCAGCATATGCTACATGGATGACTAGTAACTTGAGCAATTAGTATTTGGGAATATTCAGCTTTGGAAAGCTATTTTTAATAGCTCCTCTTAGTTATTTTTAACCGTAAGCAATCAATAAATTTTAACAGAAATGTTGTCTTCTTAAATTAACAGTTCAAAAGATTTTTTTTAAATTGTCAAACAGTATCAGTACAGCCCCAAGGTACATAGGAAATATTAATTTCTGATAGCGTTAGAATTTTGAAAAAGGAAGAATTTACTTCCTCATTATCAAAAGTAAGTAAATGGTCCCTTTTAATTAATCTGCTCATTTGGATTCAACTTCACAAGTCACAAGATGAGACAACAGTTGAAGAACTGTACAATATTGCTTCTTCTTCCTCTGAGGGGAAACCTCTGTAATTGCCAAAGTAATTCAAGAGTTGCCGTTATCCAAGAAAATGCTTAACATCATCTCTCAGTAAGTTCCAACCAAACATAATTTTGTTATTTCTAAGCTCTGGAAAAGGCATATATTTTTTGTGTCACGATGGTGTGCTTCAGGTCTTACCTGGTTTTTTTCCAGCATGTTGAAGCCTGGGCCCCTTTTTGGTTTGAATATTTGTTTGGTGGGGTTGTTTTTTTCCCCATACTACTCTGGTCATATAAATTCTTTCTGGGACACCAGAGAGCAAATCCTACAGTTTAAGAGCATTCCCTAGCCTTTGAGATTCTGGGCTGTATCCTTGGCAGACAAAGAGTCGCTGTGTTCATTCTGTACTGTTTTAAAGGAATTCCTCTTCCTTCAACTTCTGAGAGTTGGTGTGGTGTAATGGATAGCATCTCAAGAGGTCTCAGGAGGCCTGGGTTCAAATCCCACCTCAGCCGTGGAACCTCACTGAGGGTCAAGACTTCTCCTTGACTATCTCATGCTCCTCAAAAAACTCTAATAAGATCGCCATCCATTGGGCATGGCTCGATGGAGTAGAAGGTGCGACTGCTGCACCAAAGATGTTCACCAGTAAGTGAACCAATGAAGTCTCGCTAACCCAACTTAAGTCTCCATCCAGCTTAAGTTCCTCCAGGCCCATCCTTGTTCGGCAACACCCATCATCCTTTATCTATAGCCCTGGCTCTCTGGGGATGTTGGTTGCAGCTGGTTGCTGAATGAACAAACAACCAACCGACCAAACTAATGAATAAATACAAAACTGGAGGCTGGAGAAGTTCAGTGGAAAATGGTTTCCAAGCTAATACGCTTTTGCTACCAGCACCCATGTTTGTTACTGAGAACGTTTAATATAGTCCTTGTTTCGGTCTCCAAAGGTGTCTATTAGTAATCCAATCTTGATACTTCCTTTTCACCCAGTTAAAGAAGGAGAAGGAGAAGATTGGTAATAAAGCCATTTGAAACCTCAGGACTTTGGTAGTTAATCCTCCATTCTCGCTGCTAAATTGGTTCCAAAAGAACACTTTAATGGAACCAAACAATACGTCTTTCTTGTACTGTATATATGGACAGATATTTTCCCTTCTTGCCAGTTCTCTCTCTCTCTCTCTCTCTCTCTCTCTCTCTCTCTGGCCTCTACGAAAGCTCTCATTATTTTGCAGTGGGTGAAAGTGTTGTTCTTTCCCAGACTTCTGAATGCCTCTGGATTAAATTAACGGTGGCACATAAAGCGAGGCAAGTCTGCACATATAAAAAGTTTCTCCAGAAGAAACTCAAGTACTTCATTTAATCTCCTATGGAAGAGGGAGGGGTGGGGAGGTAAGAGTCCCTGGCGTCTGAGCTTTAAAGTCTGGATAGAGCCTAGAGAAGGAAACTCTGGGAAATCACAAAAATGACACACAGTTACGTCCTTGTTCGGTTTTGGGACAGTCACCCTGCACGGGGTATTTTGATTTTATTTTTACTTTATTTTATATTTAAGATGCTATAACTAGGGAAGGGGTATGTTAAAGCTCTGAAGTCTTAAGATGTCTAATGACTGCCTGCCAGCCGAGCTGTTCCCTGCTGGGTAATGGGGGGAATGCCGGGCATGTAAATATAAAGGGGGTTATTTAGGAGACCCAGCGAGCTGTGAATTATTGCCTCGGTTGTCACAAAAAGAGGGGAAAATGAGTTGCGAAGAGGAAAGGACGTGCGCTGGGTTCTGAAAAGCTTCTCGAGATTTTTGGGTGATAGGAGGAGGGGGGAACTCATATGTACTTTTCTGTGAAAAGAAATATTTGCTGCCAACCCACCTCGATTGCTTTGTAAAATCCATTCTGGAAACAAAAGAAGTCTATTTTTATGCCACATGCGAGGCAGAAATGAGAAGAAAAATAAGGCTCAAACCCTCTAATTTTCTTGTCTTCTTTTTCTAATATTTGCCCACTTCCTGAAGTTAATAAGTGGAACTTCAGTCCCAAAGCCAAGCGAGAGAGAGGCTGTCTTGTGACTTATGGGTCCTGCACAATTAGAAGAGGATGGAGCCCATGCGCCCATGCTGGGCTTTGTTTCACCGAGGTCTTTTAAGACTGACGGACTGGAATTGAGTAGCTAATTAAAAAACATATTTAGATATACTTGTGAAGGGTTTATAAAGGCACAGCTTTCCCACTCAAAGCTGTGTCTTCTTAAATAGTAGTTAATGCGAAGACTGGCCAGTGGTTGAAATAGTAAAGGAAGGAAGGAAGGAAAGATGGAAATTCAGTAGCATCAAACGCTTCTGTACCATCAGAATGGGCCATCTGCCTTTCTTGTCTGTTGCCTTCAGAGAGCAGTTCTCACCTTCTGGCACTCAAGTTGTTTTTGACTTCATCTCCCAGAATCCTTCAACATTGGATATGCTGGTTGGAGATTTCTGGGAG